CTGCGGCAACCTAGCCAATGCTCATCTCGGCTGCCGTCCGCCTCCCGCCGCCATGATCTACCACAGATATTGACAGCTTATCCTGCCGCCTGTAGCTGAAGCACCTCACTGCCCGTTTCGTCCTCAGGGCTGACGTTGAGTGGGGATAAGCCGTAATTACAACCTAGCCCCCCTGCCCAGCGTCACCAGCGTCTGCCCCCAAGAGAAGCGGCAAGATTGGCGCCGCGGGTGACGCTAGGCAGCTCTTTTAGACGCATCGCAGCGTCCCTTGCGGGTGAGTGGAGCTCTTTTCTACAAAGAAACACACAGCGCGTGCGACCAAGAAGCGTGTGAAACGGGCTCTTTTTCTGTTCGCTTACCGCTCTTGCAGAGAACTGGTCTGGTGCTACGCCGCACCATCACTGCCTCGAAAAAGGCTTGCCGCAGGGGTTTGTTGGGACTTCAGGTCGCACGCGGGTGAACAGACTCGACTCGAACTGGAGCGCGTCCCCGGAGTTCCGGACGGGGAGCGGGCGCCGGCTTGGGTTTGCTGGCACGCGGGGCGAGGACTGTCGGAAGCGAGTGGAAGATTTACGGTGACATGATTTACACTGGAAGGATTTTGGGGCGTGCGGTGACGGTTTTCGAGGCGGAACTTGTGATTCTGTACTCTGTACAAGTTTGTGGTCTTGCTGCGTTGTTTGGCAGAGGTTTGCCGTGAGTGACGGGGGCCGTGGGCAGTTCCTCAAGGTGGACAGATGCGCTCCGCCAAAGAGGATCGATATGATTTCATAGTGGTGCTGATTCCGACTCTGGCGGGGGTGAAGCGCTCATGAACCGAAATTTGAGGGTAAGCATTGGCCGCCTTGAATTTCTCACATGTTTCTCACATGTTCCTGACAGCGTGGGCATGCAGAATTCAGCGGTGCTGAGGCCGCACTGAGAGAAGGAGTTGGACATGTCACATCGTCACTTACACGCTGGCAAAAGAGGATGAAATGGGTTTTGTTGGAAGAGGACAGTGTTTTCATCAGTGGGATTCTGGATGGGAATCTGGGCCAGGTCGATTTTTGGCAGATGATCAGACGAAGATTGAGTCTTGCCGTGCCTTTTTGACAGGCAGGAGCAATCCGTGATCTTGGCAGTGCTACGGTTTGTGTCGGCGGTGAACTTATTCTGTTCCTCCGAGTACGTGCGGCTTATCTTTTAAGGTTGGCCGACCGTGACCGAGACGGCCCCGAGCGTAGTTTTTTGGGAGCGAAGCCACCCCTTACAGCTTGAATGATTGCCAGATACGGTCTACAGTTGTTGGGACGGTTCTTCCTGATCACCTGGACCCTCCCGTTTGCTTGTCTCCGCGGGAGAAGAACGAGGGGAGGGGAGGCGATGAGGAGGCGACGGGCTTTTGGCGGGGTCGGGTCCCGATGCCGTCGCCTCTGGTCCGTGAGCCTACGCTTTGTCGGAACCTCGTGTGCAGAAGACGCAGCTCAGTCACAGTCACTCCCCCAGTCTCCGTGTCCATGTTCGTGAAACTTTTTGGTCAGACGGAGTGGGTTATGGTGTTTCGTGGCCGAGTCTCTTTGTCATATCCGCCACTTGGCAGTCAATTCGGCCCAAGGAAGCATTACCAAGGGCCCGTTGGTTGGACCTCGCTGGCATGGGCATCACTGTAGGCCGTTTCCCGCTGCGGGGCGGGGCTTTGTAAGTGTTTATGTACCGGGGAGATGAAACCAACCAACAGCATAATCATGACGATAACCATATTGGACCCTGGTGGTGGCTCAGGGTCGCGGTCCAGTGGCCGGTGAGCGGAGGGGTTGCTGCCGGCCGCGTACACCGTGTACGTGACCGAGGGCCGTGGTGGTGGGACTGAGAGAATTGGAGAATGGGAGACTGCAAACCATGGGAATCAGCAACTCCCCAAGGTGTGGAATAGTGGATGCGAAATTGTCGGGAGCTTCGTGGACATTGCCTCGGGGCACAAGGTTGGACCTGATAGAAAGGTGCTGGTTGTGGAAGGGGTTGGCATGAGAGGGATGCTGACTGCGCGGTGTAAGCTTGAAGGCGAGTCTTCGTCCGAGCATGTGCAGAGGGGTAAGTGGAAATATACGCAGTAGAGTCTGTTATTTAGGTGTAGGAAGATGGTGGTTACGAGAGTTAATTCTTATGGGAGGGGACGGAATATCTCGCAATCTCACCGTCCCGGGGGAAAAGGTGCTCAGCCCTTGCGAGTCCAGACCGAGGATGGAACGAGGAGAAAGACCTGTGATTAAGTAACATCCTTGGAAAGGCAAACACGCTGCAAGTGTAATAATATGCTTCACCGCGAGTGAGTGACAGACACCCTGGAGATGCAGTATCAGAAAGAGTGCGATATTTTGGGTTTCGGTGAGCTGAATACGCAGTGGTCTCTGCTTGGCAGGAGCCGGTGTTGGAGATTTGAGTTTCGCTGCCAGTCGCGTCGGATAGCTGATCCGGATTCGTGGACACAGGCGTTAATGTTCATGCTGATGAAGCCTGCTTACTACTCAAGAGGCAGATGAGAAACTCGGCTGCCATTTTTTGGGGTGTTGGAGGGACGGGAAGAGCGTTGAAGCTTCTGTCGTGCCGTTGTCCAGCCCGCCGCCCGCCCCCGTCCTACCGGGAAGACCCTCGCCGGGAGACGGTGCTTCCTGGAGACTGTCTGTTTGCCCGGGGCGGAAGAGTCGAAGAGGACCGCAACACAAAGAGGATGATGCTGGAGAGTTGTGTGTGCAGGGGCTGGCGATCTCGAGTGGCTGTTGGATGGCTCGGCAGTGATGGATGGATGGATGGTCTGTCTGTTTCTATTATGGCAGCTGCAGCGTTGCACAGCTCCAGAGCTCAGCCCCCCTCCGCTAAGGCAAGGCACCACGAACATAGCCGCACCGTGGGTGCTGGAGAGGGTGAGGGGACGGCGCTTGTTGGATCGATTTAGCACGTCCAATGGCACCTGCGAGACGGCGAGGGATCACTGTACTACGCAGTGCTACTCTGCATCTATCAGCTGTGGCTGCTGTTGCAGAGATCAGATACTGTGTCGAGTTGACAAGTTGTCGCTGTGGCTGATGAGACTGAAGCCCTTCAGAGACTCTGATTGGTTTATGGTGACAAATCTGTGGCGTATGTTCATGATGATTACCCTGTTGGGAACATGTGTGTATCTTATCTTGCCTCTGCCCTGTGTTTCTGTCCCCGCTGTTCCATCTCCTCTGTCTCTCTCTCTCTTCCGTCCCAACTTGCTCTTCCACTCTGTCGCCATCGCCATTCGCTGTCTCTTTTTCTATTCCTCTTCCTCCTGCAAACGCATCATCAAGAGGTCTGAACGGGAGGGCCGCACTGTCGCGGCAATCCAATGTCACCTCACACCTACACTACCAGACCGCGCCAGCTATCCACCAAGACTGCACCTCCATCACAGGCTCACAGCCAAAGGTCAAGCACCATCCCTGCTCGCCAGTAGCGCCGCGCTTCCTCTGTTTGTTTGACGGGCACACGGAAAAGACTGGGGGCCACCACGGCTAGATCGTCGCCCGCGTGGCTCAGAACCAACCTACCTTACGCAGCTGTCGTCGTCTGCTCTGTAGCATTGGACACTACAATAATGACCTACGGCGTAGTGCATGCCTCCCTTGCTCTGTTGCAAGTTGGTATTGGACGGCCCGTTGGGAGCTTGTGAGGACGGACCACGGCCGCCGAAGGGGCGCAGTCCGCGCCCTCGTCTGTTTCTGCCTCTGCTCTCCTCTGTTTCCCTGCCTTTGCCTGTGCCTGTGCCTCTGCCTCGCTCCACCCTCCGATCTTCATGTTTCTATCCCACATGTTACCCTGGTCCCTCGTCCCTATCTTGGTTGCCCGTCTCGCTTTCGCTGCAGAGCTATTCCCGGGTGTCTGTGGCACCCGCAAATAAGGTCGTATCAACTTGTTCATGTGGTAACGAGCAAGGCATTCTTCACTGCCTAAGTTGCTCTCCACACTCTCAAGTAACTGCCTGGACGACCCCCGGCCTCCGGGCCCCGGCCCCCATTCCACACTCGCGAGTGACAATCTCCAGCAAGACGCGGGTATGCATGTCCAGGCTGCGGCAGGCCGTGACATGGCATGGCGTGGCGCGGCCATACCTCAGCACCTTAGCAGCTTAGCTAGCAACCCTACGTGTAGTGCGGTCGCAAGTTGCTGCCACTCGCACTCTCTCCTCCTCCCATCCCATCAGTCTTTCGGCTCGTTAGTCACTCCTTCAGACCTCCCACCCACCCAATGGAAGCCTGTCTCCCCCACCCTGCTGCAGCGACAAGCTGGACCCCGGCACGTCAGAGGGGCCGGGGCCATGGGGCGGCCATGGGAAGAAGCTCGATCTACAACCATGCCGGTTCCTGGTCGTTTGCTAGCTCTAACCTGGCCCTACGCTGCCTGTACCCGGTACCTACCCTGGTTTTCCATCTTGCCTGGGCATGGCTAAGGTAGGTAAGCAAGAAACCTCCGTCCCAATGCTCTTACTCTTTTCTCGAGTGAGAAAGAGGATGGATGATTAGAGCCTCTTCTGGTCTTGGTTTGGGTTGGGTGGGTAGCCATCTGCTGCGCATTCCACATTATTTCACCACATCAACGCCCGCTTCCCCCCTCACCGTCTTCTTTCTCTTGCTTCTCCTTGCTTCCTACCGGTGATATCGTCCCTTGCCCTCGTGTGACAGAGTCGTTGGTTCTTCAAAGAACCTCGTACCAACAAACGGCCCCCGAAAGCGTCATCCCCCAAACACTCCCTCGACTGTTCGTCCCGTCCAACCAACAACACCCGGCACCTTTGACCCTCACCCAGGAAGAAAGCCCACCACCTTAAAGGACCGACGTCTGATCTGTGTAGTCGGCCACCCGCACCCGGCCGCCACCTTTGTTTGTGTGTTTTATGTGTTATTGAGATACCCCCTCAACGCTGTTTCTGCAGCCTCTCTTCTCTTCTTCAGATCAGATCGCGACTCGGACCACCTCCCTCGCCCACTTACACCACCATGGCCGACTCAGTCAGCACCAAAATTCTCCCCAAAATCGACACCACAATGTCGTCATTACTACACACAGAGTCCGTAGAGGACAGGCTACTCTCAGCAACAGCCGCCGTGCTGAGTTTGCCGCGGAACAGCATCGAGCTGTTCGACTCGTTCGCTGACCTCGGTGGAGATCGACCTGCCGCCATCGAGCTAAGGAAAAGGTGCATGAGCCTCGGACTCGGAGTCAGGACGAGCGACATTCTTCGCTGTCACACCTTGGCGGAGCTTCAGACCTGCATCACCCCCTTCGGCCAGACCGTGCCTGTGCCTGCGTCCAAGGAGTCCGACGAAGACAGCGCTTCTCCCTCCGATGTCTTCAGCTCAAGTCCCAGACGAAGCAGCGGCGGTTACTCAACATCATCGTGCGAATCCACCCACAGCGCCGAAGTAGCACCCTTGAGGGCACCACAGGTCGCCATCGAACGCTTCATCGAGTCCACGCCCCAGGTCACGAGCGCGGCTGTTATCAGGCCAAAAGCCGGCTACTTGGAGGGAAAGCTCGTGGCATTCGTCACTCTGGCATCCGGTCGGGTCTCCCAATCCAGCCTCTCAAGTATCCGCCTCATTCCTCAGTCGCAAATGCATTTTGCTGGAAGCCAGGTCGCAGCAGTCCGCCTGGCTCTCGAAACCTCAGAAGGGGCTCACTCAGTACCAAACTCATGGATCGTGCTCGACCAGATGCCTTCCGACGGTGAGGGCTCCGTCGACCGGAGGCGGCTCCAGACATGGATTCAGAACATCAACGAAGACATGTACCACCAGATTTCCAGCCTCGAATCTCATGAGCTCTTCCAGGAGCCTTTGACCGAGATGGAGCGCATCCTGCAGAAGACCGTGGCCGACGTTCTCAGGATACCACAGAAGCAGGTCGGCATGAACTTCTCATTCAGTCAGCTCGGCGGCGACGACATCTCCGCCATGATGTTGGTCGCTGAGTGCCGGACGGCATCCATCGTAGTGAGACCAGAGGATGTTCACCAATGTCCAACGCTCGGCCAACTAGCTGCGCTCGCAATCCGGAAAACTCAGCACAAGGCCGTATGGAATGAGGAGTCACTCGAAGGGTTCAAGTTGTCGCCAATGCAGCAACTCTACTTTGACACTGGCATCGGCGGCCGTCTGGAACAACGACTTGCCCCGAATGGTGGCTACCGCTTCAATCAGAGCATTTTGCTGCGCGTCAAGAACAACTCAACTCTCGAGGACGTCCACGCCGCCATCGCAACAGTAGTCGGTCACCACTCAATGTTGCGCGCCCGGTTTCGATCCACTGCCGACGGCTGGATGCAGCGAATAGTACCAACGGTGGAAGACTCGTATGGGTTTCGCTATCACTCAGTCAGCACCACGGAGGAAGTTCTCGGCATCATTGCGAAAACGCAGTCCAGCATTAACATTGAGACTGGCCCCGTCTTCGCGGTCGAACACTTCCGCACACATGACGGCCAGCAACTTGTTTACCTACTCGCTCACCATCTCGTCGTGGACATGATGTCATGGCGCATTATCATCCACGACCTCGATGAGCTTCTGCGCGAGGGCATTTTGTTCTCTGAGCGCTCAATGCCGTTCCAAAGATGGAACGAGCTCCAGGAGGAGTACATCTGCAACAACGCAGATCAGTTGGCGCTTCCCTATCAACTTCCGAGCGGCCAGTACAACTACTGGGGCCTCGAAGACTCACTCAACACTTACAACGACATCGCGACGGCAAGCTTCACTCTCACTGCGGAATTGACCGCCATTCTCCACACAGCATGCAACCAGGTCTTCAGAACCGACATGTCGGACATCTACATGGCCGCATTAATGCTCTCATTCAGCCAAACATTCCACGACCGCCGGGCGCCGGTGGTTTGGAACCAGGAGCACGGACGAGAGCCCTGGAGCCAGGACATCGACATTACTGAGACAGTTGGCTGGTTTACGTCTCTCTGCCCGGTTTCGCTCCAAGTCGACATGGCCGACGACTTTCTCCAAGTACTGCGTAAGATGAAGGACACGAGGCGATCCATCATTCGCCGTGGCTGGAACTACTTCGCCTCAAGGTACTTTGGTCCTGAAGCGGCTTCGCGCAACGCGGAAGGCTGGCCATTCGAGGTCATGTTCACTTACGCTGGCTCTGTCCAACAACTGGAACGGGAGAAGGGCGTTTTGGAGCAGCTCACCATACCCGGTAGACTGCTCTCAACCGATGCTTCAGACATCGGCCCGGACGTCAGCAGAATCGCTCTTTTCGAGGTCTCAGCCATGGTTGATCAAGGCGCTGCATCAGTCCAGATTATTTACAACAAGAACTGCAAGCACCAAGATAAGATTACCGAATGGATCCAAACCTATGAACACCTCCTCTACGAGGCCATTGGCCGGCTCCGCTACCGCGGGCAGGAGCTTACTTTATCTGATGTCCCAATGCTGGACACGACCTACGAGGGTTTGGCAAAGCTGAACACCGACCGCCTGGTTGCTCTCGGTCTGACCAGCGCCAAGGATATCGAGGACGTCTTCCCGGTCACCGCCCTCCAGCAGGAAATCCTCATCAGCCAAACCCAGAACCTAGAAACCTGCCACAACCATGCCATCTACGAGCTCTCCGCCCCCAACGGCCTCGTCGCAGATCAGGCTCAGATCTGCTCGGTCTGGCAGCAGATCGTTGCCAAGTACCCAGCACTTCGGACGGTTTTTATCGACAGCATCTCCGACAACGGGCTCTTCGACCAGGTCGTGCTGAGGAAATGTTCGCCCGAAATGCTCTTCGTCGACGCTGAGGCGGGCACAGACCCGGTGGCCATTCTTAATGCGTTGCCGCCGATGAGTGCAACACCTTACAACCCGCGCCACCGGGTGTCAGTCTGCAGGTCCCATGCCAGTACCTTTCTGAGGCTTGATATCAGTCATGCGCTTTGTGATGTAAGAAAGAAACCTTCGTCCCGTTCGTTACACCCTATCCACGTGCTGACCTTCTTTTAGGCTTTGAGCCTCCAAAACATCATGTGGGACCTGAAGAGGATGTATAATTCCAGCAAGCTACCCATGAAAGTTCTGGACCCGTCGCATGTTGCGTGCTTGCAGTACATCTCGTCAGCGCGCCAGGAAAACAGCCTCAACTTCTGGCTGGGCCGTCTTCAGGAGACTCAACCATGCTTGTTCCCGCGATTGATGACCGTCACCGAGGGCATCATGCAACACACAAACTTCTTCATCGACCTGCCGATGGTGCAGATTGATGAGTTCTGCCGCAACCAAGGCATCAGTCGGGCAACTGTTGTTCGGCTGGCATGGGCGCTTGTTCTGCGTGCCTTCACGGGGTCAAGCCGGGTTTGCTTCGGTTACCGCTCAGCTGGTCGCGACGCTGATGGCGCTCCTGAGGGGTTGAGCATGGCGGTGGGTGCTTTCGAGAACACTACCACCTGTGCGATCGGACTGGAGAACTACAAGACCGTTGTGGAGGTTCTTCGAACTGTCGAGGAAGACGCTGCTGCTTTCCGCCCACACCAGAATGTCTGCATATCAGAGATTCAACATGCTCTGGGCCTGAAGGGAGACAAGCTCTTCAACACTTGCCTGTCCTACCAGGAGGAGCCTCATGAGCTGAAGAGCAGATTCAGCTCGACCAGGCCGCCGATGGGACTTGCTTGTGTCCAGGCATTCAACACCCCCGACTACGATGTCACCTTCTCGCTGACTCTTGTCAATGGGCAGCTGATTACTGGTGTCTCCCACAGAGTTATGACTGCTTCTCAAGCTCAGAACTTGACTAACACCTTCGGGCGTGCTGTGCTTTCCATCCTAAGCAGCGCTAATGGCTCCATCAACAGCATCGATCTCTTCACTGACAGAGACTACGCTCAGCTGTTGATCAGTGACTGGGAGACGGACAAGGCTAACGAGGCATCTCACGGCTGCGTGCACGCGCTCATCTCACAGCAAGCAAGGCTCCGACCAGATGCTCAGGCTATTTGCGCCTGGGATGGCCACCTCTCGTACAGGCAGACGGGCCGTCTTGTTTCTCGGCTTGCCACTTATCTCGTGCAGTGGGGTGTGCGGCCTGGTGTACCCGTACCGGTCATCCTGGACAAGAACAAGTGGGCAGTCATCAGCATCCTGGCCGTCTTGAAGTAAGTGCTCTCCAATTGTTTAACGATTTGCAACATTACTGACATGAGTATAGGGCTGGTGGCTGCTTTGTGCCTATCGATGCCGAAGACCGAAACAACGTCGAGACCTTCATCCGCCAGCTCTCGCCCAAGATCCTCATCGCAACCGACATGAACTGGAAGTACCTCGAGTCAATCATCGAGGGCGTCATCGTCGTTGATGACTCTCTCTTCAACGTCACTTTCCCTCTTGAGTCGCCTCTTCCCATGGCTGCGCCGAATGATGCCGCATGCATCCTCCTCTCTCCTGGCTCATCGCGCGGCAGAGAGGCAAAGGGCATCATCTTCCACCACGCTGCTCTTTCTGCAGCTTTCGTCACACAAGGCCGAGCACTCAATCTCAATGCCGACAGCCGCGTTATGCAGCTGTCTTCATTCAACGTTGACACGGCGCTCATTGAGCTGCTTTCAACACTCGTACACGGCGGTTGCGTATGCGTACCTTCCAGCGTCGAGAAGACTAGCGACATCGTCGGCGCCGCTCGCAGAATGGACGTCAACTGGACTTACCTGACGCCAGTCCTGGCAAGGAAGATGACTCCGGCAGCCATTCCTAGCTTGAGGACCGTCTGCTTCAGGACTCGACGCCTCGACGAGGATACCTGTGCCCCATGGATTGAAAAGACAAAGGTCCTTCTGGCATACGGTGCTCCAGACATCTGCCCTCTCGGCATCTCGGTTCTCGAGGTCACGAGGCCGCAGGATCTGACTCGGGTCGCGCGACCCTTCCTCGGCAGGTTCTGGATTGTCAACCCCGAAGACCACCGCAGACTCATGCCAATTGGTGCCATTGGCGAGCTCATCATCGAGAGCCCGACCCTTGCGCATCGCTTCGTTCCAGGACAGCCTCTGGCACATCTCCCGCAGGACTCAGATGTGTCACTCGAGGACGGGAAGCCGAAGACGCGGTACTTCAAGACAGGCCACCGAGTTCGCTACATGGACGATGGTATGCTTGACTTCGTCTCAAGCGGTCGCGATGATGTCGAGATCAAGGGGCAGATTATCCCTGTCGCTCAAGTTGAACAGCAGCTCCGTCGCTGCCTTGGCCAAGGAATGGATCTCGCCGTGGACTCGATCATCACTCGTGATGCCCAGCCTGCATTGGCAGCATTCATTGAGCTGGGCGAGAAGCTCTTTGAGGGGTCGGAGGACCTTACCAGAATCACGATTACGACCCGCGAGCGCACTTACATCGCCAAGAAGCTCATCGAGTCTTCGGTGGGCAGCGGTCTCCCCGCGCATATGATGCCAACCATATTTGTCCCTGTCAGACATCTTCCGGTCACCCCTTCACTCAAGGTTAACCGCCGCAAACTCCAGAAGATGGTCAGCTGGCTATCTCAAGAACAACTATTGGAGTTGTCAACCGTCCCGTCGCCCGATGATGTGCAGACGGTTGGCATTAAGCCCCTTCCCCTCACCCAAGTTGAAGAGCGCATGCGGTCGATCTGGTCTACTCTCCTAGGCGTCGATGCAGCCTGCATCCGCGGGAACCAGAGTTTCCTCTCTCTCGGTGGCGAGACCTTCCTTGCTGCCCAGCTCGTGGTCGAGTGCCGCAAGCAGGGTCTCATCATTGCACTCCCTGACATCCTTCGCGGTGCAACCCTCACCGAGCTCTGCCAGGGTATCACCATCAGTGCGGAATTCACTGTCGACATTGCGGAGCTGCCTTCCAACGCCTCGTCCTCCATGGGCTCGAGCTCAGAGATGCAATTCGAGGAGCAGTTCATCCAGGACATCATCGCACCGAAGATGGGCATATCTCGAGAGGAAATCACCGACGTCGCGGAGGCATCCGCCACCCAACTCAAGTTCCTCGAGACCGGTCTTCTGAAGGGAAGTTCTAGTCTCACCTACTTCACCTTCAGCTTCACTGGTCCCGTTCATCCCAAGAAGCTCGAGGCAGTCTGCATCTGCCTTGCCAAGATCCATCCCATCCTGAGGACGGCCTTCGTTACGCACGAAAGACGCGTTTACCAGGTGGCCCTCAAGTCCTTCAACCCCGAGTTCAGAAGAATCGAGGTCCCGACGTGGAGAGTCGCAAACATGACTGAGAAGTTGATCAAGAGGGACCAAGCGGCGCCCTTCGCGCTTGAAACGCCAATGACTAAGTTCCTCTTCGTCGACGCCGGCAAGCAGTCTAACTTAGTCTTGCGGCTTTCAGGGGCTCAGTACGATGATGCGTCCATTTCTCTATTGCTTCAACATTTGAAGAGCATCTACATCGCCCCATCCTGTCCGCCGCGCAGAGCGACATACTTTGATTTCGTTCGTTCCGCGCAGCTCTCTCATGTCGCCGGCGCCCTGGAGCATTGGACTTCCCTGCTGGACGGTGCCAAAATGACCCAAGTCGTCGCCCACGCTAAGCCGCCTGCTCTGAGCTCCAACATCAAGACCCTTTCCCAGAACGTCTCCGTCATGTCCCTTGCCAACCTCGGCATCTCCTTCGACACGGTGGTCAAGTCTGCATGGGCAATGGTCCTTGCCAATCTCTCTGGCTCTGGCGATGTTCTATTCGGCGAAGTCATTGAGGGCAGACATCTCCGCCTCGCTGACGGCTCCGATATCTCCGGCACCTTGGGTCCCGTCTCCAACGCAATTCCCGTCCGTGTCCGCTTCGCCGAGACACTCAGCAGCCCACTTGAGCTCCTGAAGTACGTTCATGGCCAGCGCGTCATGAGCATCCCCTTCGAGAACATGGGTTGGCTCGAGGTAGTCGAGAAGTGCACCAAGCTTCCCTACTGGACACGCTTCAGCACCGTCGTCGAGCACCGTCACCAGGATGCCGCCAAGGAGGCCGCGATCTTCAACCTAGGCACAGTCAAGTGCAAGTTCAACATCGTGGAACCCATCAGCCGCGACATGTACGATTTGCACGTCATCTCCACCCAGGATAACCCCAGCTGCGGAGACATCTCAATCACGTTCTGCGAGAACCGCATTCCAAGCTTGTTCGCCAACGAGACTCTCAAGGCTCTTTGCTCCACCATCGAGCTCCTGACCTCTGTGTCGATGCTCCATCCCCTCATCCCCTCGACCGCCGACTACTGTGCCGTCACGCCACAGATCCCTCTCCCTCAGATCGACATGGAGCCAAAGACAACCAACGTTGGCGCAAGCATGTCCGACGACCACCGCGCCTCAATTCAGAAGAAAATTTCCAAAGTCTGGACCGAGATCCTTGACCCGCGGTCTCTTGGCGTCCCGGAGAGCCAGCTTCCCAACGCGGCCTTTTATGATCTCTGGGGAAGCATGATGCCCGCTGCACAGCTATCCCAGGCCCTCACGCAAGAGCTTCCAAAGTTGGGCATCCCAGGCTCACACAACCTGCACATCTCCATGGAGGAGATCATGGCGCACCCCACCATGGCAGAACAGTTCGAGCTTGTCGCGCGGAAACTGCGTGACGCCAAGCGGCGAACCATCTCTGAGGTCTTTTCACCCAAGGCCCATCCGGCATGGGGCCGCAGCCTGCGTCGGCTGACCACCACCATCACTCCCAATAAGACAGTGGAGCGGGGACTGAGCAGCACCTCCGCCAGCTCATCCAGCTCAGTTGACGTCTACCGCAGCTCGACCGCTGCGCAGCAACCCTTCATGAACTCCATCGCGGAGATGACGAGCGGCACGCAGCCCAATATCGGCGCAGCAATCACCACCGCTTCGCCGGTCGAGCTGGAGACAGATGTCCCGGAGACGCAAGCCCCAACGCAGACCCTGGCACGTCGCCCGCGGCTGAGTCTTGCAGTCCAGCATGATGGAAGCAGTATGGAAAGCATGACCACAGGAAGCAGTCGCACCACTGATGATGAGGCCGATGCTGAGGCGGAAAATGAGGATGTCGTCAGCCCGATGAGCGCGAGCACGTTGACCACGCCGGCCGTGAGCACGCCAGCTGAGGGGAGCAAGATTCGAAGGAAGGCCGGCAGTGTGTTCAGTCGGATGAGCAGGATCGGGCTTGTCAGCCCTGTGAGTGCCGGGTCTAAAGCGAGTTGATTGATTGATGCTTGTTATTTGCAAGCGCCTGGCGTCAGGTGATACTTTTGGGCATGAAAAGAGAGACTGGCGTATGGATAATGTCTATCAATAATTTTCATTTGTTTGGGGAAAAGATCAAGAGAGAAAATTGGTAGGCCGTGGCATGAAGATATCCCAATAAATTGCCTTGTATTGTTTAAATCGACTTTCTGCTGTCTCTCCGTTGCCGCTTGTGATCTTTGCCAGACCTAGTTCTATCAATCATTACTCCAGATATCATACATCATTGGATCTAATCCTTCAAATAACTCGGGGGTATCGTGCATCTAGCTCCGCAACATACTGGGGAACAGGCATCTCCGCCATTCCCGCAGGTCTTCCATCTTGATGACCGTAAAGCTCATGATAGTACGACTGGTACGCATACTTGTCCGGCTCGTACGGTATTGGTGCCCGCGCATCAAAAGCTGATGGCTCTTCTGAGTTGCGCAATTGCCGTCGCCTTCTCCTCCAGAGCAGGAACGCAACGAGAAAAATTGCAATGACACCGACACCTACTCCGACTCCAATCCCGATAGTTGTACTAAGCGGAATGCCTTGATTTATTGACGTGGGGATCTCTGTTGGGGTGGACGGCAGTATCGTGGGTGTCGGCTCTGTGGGTGCTGTTTGCCGGGGAAGCGCTGAAGCGTCTGTATTTGTTTGTGCTGGGGAATTCAGGTTGGTTGTTGCGGTAGCAGATAAACTGGATGGAGCGCCGGTAGCCCCTGGAAGAGTGTTCCATCCCACAACAGCAATGGCCCCGATGAAAGACTCCCACTCTACAGTGGTGGTGTTCATCCTCCACCGGCCCTCTGACACATTAGAAGATGCGAACGTAAGGACGGCGCCAGTCAAAACGTTGGACCGGCAGTCTCCGACAAGAGACCCGGCATGGCCATTCGTGTTCGTTAGGGTGTAGTCTCTAATAACTCAGTCAGAGAGGACTCGGAAAACAGATGCGGCGCGGCTTACGGCGGACAACACATTGCCAGCGTACTGACTTCATCTTTCACGTACGAAGCGACGGTGGACCATTGGTAAGGGCAGGTCAAAGGTCCGATGCTCATGGCAGTGTGTCCGTCGCCATTGTAGACTCCGAGTCGCCTTTGCTCCCACCATGTCGTTACAGCGGCCGGTGCGCATCGGACTCTTGTATCGACGTCAATTCCGAAGCCTGGATCATAGGCTACTATGCTGAAGCCGTTGAGTCGGAAGACAGTTGAACAACTGGACGGCGGGGTAAAGACTGTTGGGAGCGCGATGAAGGATGTGATTTCGCCTGATGCATTCGTCTCCGCAGGGTATGGCTCAGCCATTTTGTCACCGAAGAGAGAAACAGCCTCTGGAATAAATTAAAAGATGGACAAAAGTGTAATTAACGAAAAGATCGTGAGAACTTCTGGTGCAGCAAAACTTTTTGGAGAACCACAAGGTCAAAGCCGGGCATGATCTGCCCGACTTACACCGTCTATGGATCACATTCACTGATGCGCTCTGTGACTAACAGGCAGACGACTGAAGATAAGGTCTTTCATTCCCCGCCGGCGCGCTGGCGGCTGCGACTCTTCTCTCGCGATGAAGACATCTCATGGCCCGCCAAAAGGTCCATTGTATCTGCTAAAGTGCGGCGCAGGTTTTAGCTAGGCGCCAGCCGGGCCTATTTCAATCTTGGACTCATCTCACGATGCTGTGATCCAACCCGAATCTTCGTTGTTGGTGCAGATGAACAACGCACCAACGGTCATGTTGGTCGTTGGAAGCAAACATGAATTCATGCCAAGGAAACCAAAATGGGGACAGGCCACGGGCGCATACTTATCTCACGCTGGTTTACGCGCTGTTGCCCCCTTTTGAGGAAATGCTGCAGCAGTTCTACCAATCATCAACAACGGCCACAAACGGCGACCGTAGCGCGCGGAAGAGAACCAAGAGAAACCCATGCCAACCAACCATCGATTTATGGGCTCTTGACGAGTAATAGCTCTCCGTTGGTTCGAAAGAACGACATCGCACCGGGCTTCGTCTTTTTTAAGGTCATTGCCTCCCCGACCCAGTCCCTCGGTATCCAATAGCGTCAGCCAGCTCGTAATTGCTCAGGCCATGTTAACCTGAGCAGGAATGCTAACTTCAGATTTCAGGAGATCATGACCAAAAAGCTGGTCTACCGGGCATTTGCGCCGGTCCAATGCTATGCGGCCATGACTTCTAAGCTACCAACACATTTGAAGTAGCCGCCGACGGCCTCGGCGATCGACACATCGGGATGCTCACGGCAGGGACCGCTGTCGCGGACGCTAAGCGCCGTACTGCCCGGAGCCCTGTTGGAGGCTACTCGTCACTCTCCCAAGATTCATCGTGTACATATTCTTCGCGGAACCGAGAACACTGTTATTGTTGTGTCCGTTCAACTTTTCATCATTCATTGCCATTTGATATGGCGTCATCACCAACCAGACGCGGACGACGAAGTTCGTCAGCAGATTCAGTCTACTCGTCCTACTCCGTCTGTAAGACCGCCGAATCAATTGGCGACGACATCCGAAGAGCCAGGCGGTCATCCCACCACAGCAGGAAAAATATGCAGCGCAGAATACGCAACGTCATAATCATGCTATGTTTTATTGGGCTAGCAAGTATGTTCGTTGCAAGCTACTTCTCAGATCATGCACTTGGGTACTCGCAATTTTCACCACATTCTCAATTCGCTGATTGGGACGCTCGGAGGGAAGAAGTCAAAGAAGCCTTCGTCATCAGTTGGGATGCATACAAGAAGCACGCTTGGGGTGAGTTCTGCTGCATTCTGCAGTAACCGGAAGCACATGCTAAGCTTCCAGGTAATGATGTGTTCCACCCACTTGCAAAGACGGGCAGGAACATGTCTCCATCAGGCCTAGGATGGATCATCGTTGACAGCCTCGACACGATGATGCTCATGAACTTGACGGAGCCTCTTTCTGATGCACGCAAGTGGCTTCACCGCAGTCTCACCTGGGACCAAGACCAGGATGTCAACACTTTCGAGACCACTATCCGCATGCTGGGTGGTTTACTCTCCGCGCATTACCTTTCGACGCAACTGCCTCACGTCGCGTCAAAGAGAGACTCTGTGTACCTTGCCAAAGCAATCGACTTGGCGGACCGGCTACTTGTTGCTTTCGACAGCAACTCAGGCATCCCTTACGCCAGTGTCAACATCGGCAAGAGGAAGGGTATCCCATCCCATGCCGATGGCGGCTCTTCTTCGACGGCAGAGGCGGCTACGGTGCAGTTGGAGATGAAATATCTATCACATCTGACAGGGAACGATGTTTACTGGAAAAAGGCCGAGCATGTGATGAAGCTACTTGATGACCAGAAGATGGAAGGTGGGTTGTTACCGATCTTCGTGCATCCCAATCATGGTCGCTTCACCACAAGAGAGATTCGGCTCGGAAGTCGGGGTGACTCATACTATGGTGAGTGACTTATCCTCTTGTTGTATGTTGTGTTCTAATTCAGGAGTAGAGTACCTCGCGAAGCAGTACCTCCAGACGGGAGAAACGATTTATCGTGACATGTGGGAAGACGTACTGGATGGGATTCAAAAGCATCTCGTCACCACAACACGCAATGCTGCTTTGAAGTACATCGCTGAACTTCCCGCGGGGGTTGGAGGTGCTCTCTCGCCCAAAATGGATCATCTTGTTTGCTTTCTTCCTGGTACTATTGCTATGGGTGTGAGTATTTCCTAGTCAGCCCTTTGCATTCATGTCTGACCATACACCTAGGCTACGGAGGGCCGAACGTTAGCCGAAGCTCGTCGCGATCCGGAATGGACGCCCTATCATGAAGATGATGTGAAACTTGCCATTGAACTCATGAAAACCTGTTGGGGCATGTACGCTGTCACAGACACCGGACTTGCGCCGGAGATCGCATGGTTCAACGCCACAGAATACGACCTGCAACCGAACCCTGGGGATAGAAAACAGCGTAGTTCTAGTAGCAGTAAGTATTTTCCTAGTGAATTCAGGCTTTTTCTGACATCGTTCCACTTCAGCACTGTCGAAATGGCACAAAGACTTAATCATCAAGCCTCTGGATGCGCACAACCTGCAGAGACCCGAAACAGTTGAAAGTCTCTTCATGATGTACCGCGTAACTGGCGATTCAATGTACCGAGAATGGGGTTGGAAAATCTTCCAAGCCTTTCGGGAGCACACTATGGCCCCTGACGGAGAAGGCTTCACGAGCCTCAATGATGTGCGAACAGTACCACCGTCAACGAGAGACAATATGGAGAGTTTTTGGCTGGTAAGAAATGAATGATGAATCAATTCTGGTGATCTGAGCTGACAAAACATTCTACAGGCCGAAACTCTCAAGTACCTGTACTTGCTGTTTTCCCCAACAGATTATATGTCGTTGACTGAAGTCGTATTCAACACCGAAGCACACCCCTTCCCTCGATTCACTCCGACGGGAACTATGAAAACCGGGTGGGAGAGATTGCCACGGTGAAAAGAGATATTGATGGGTAATCATTGCAACACTATGTACGATACGACTTGTATAACTTATGAATAGATGATAGAATCTCTTTTATCAAGGCGCTAAACCTTGATTACACTCTCACGAAAGGCCCCTCAAGAAGGCTTTTTGCATACACAGGGCGATGTGGGTTTATCTGAAGTTATCATGCCTTGCTATCAAATTTGTGTCTTTGCAGCTTTAACGCCCAGCGAATTCGATGGATTCTCATGCGAAAAATCGACCTCGATTCCCATGGCGTATCACGATAGCAGTAAATCGCAAACAAATGCAATGGCACCAGCAGTCTGCAAAAGCTGCTACCTTATTTCGCTGCTGACAGGTCAAGATAACCGGGGATTAGTGGGATGCGTCAGCCCAACTGATTGGATCACTTCCAACACGCTCGCTACCGACGAAACCTCGGAGGTGCTAGCGGTTTCGAGATGTCCTCCCCGGCCGACGCTTAAATGCCCGGGGTGTCACTGCAGGATGTGCTTAGTCAAACCAGTTCAAATGCGGTTGTGATGCCCGTTGCCGAGGTTGCGGCATTTGGCGAGCTGCTTGGCGGTTGGGCTCGCAGATGGTTGGTCGCCAATGATCTGGCTATCGCCGAGGTGGCACGGTGAACCCTTTAATTTTGGTCTCCTGATAACAGGATATCTCGAATCACTGTCTCTTTTGTCGTAAGAGATGACCTCACGCCGCCTTGTGATGCCTGTCGAGGCATGTACTTCAGTCGTTCCCTATGCTGAAAGCGGGTCAGATGTCTACGCCAACGAAAAGTACGTTCAAAATTAGATCGGTATCTGATGTTACGCTGATGCATCTTGAGAGCTGGCTGACCAAAAGAAATAGTCGCCCGTGGGACCCTCCTTCAGAGGCTCGAGGCATCTTTGGAGGCTTCTTGCTCGCGCAGTCGATCCGCTCGGCCCAAAAGACGCTGCCGTTCCCCGGCTACTACGTGCATTCCCTTCAATCAACCTTCATACGCCAAGGTTCTAAAGACTCTAGACTTGTTCATCATGTCGAGAGAGTTGCAGATGGACGGACCTTTGCCACCAGAGTCGTGCGGACCATTCAAAATGACAAGCCCATATTCATGGCATTCATCAGTTTCCAGAAGTACACAACGAAGAAAGATCCATCAAACATCTTCGAATACGGGATGAAGATGCCGAGTATGAATAAGAAGGCTCCAGAGGACATCGAACCCGGCTACCAAGCGATCAAAAGTTACATGGGTATTCCCCCGAACATCGTGGAGGCCCTGCCGAACCCGTTTGACTGGCGTTTTCTGCCTTACGAGACTACCACCGACCCTACGAGATTCGAGTCGCTTAGTTTTGTACGCGCCCCAAAGGTTTCGGTTGACTCTCAAGCTGTTCATCTCTCTGCCCTGGCATACCTGACAGATATCTGGACCCTATCCGTGCCTCATATGGCCTCGAATGCAGAGTTTGGCAAGATGAAAGGCACACCGGGCATGCAAATCACTTTGAACCACTCGATAGTCTTCCATGACCCGAACGCAAAGGTAGACGATTGGATGGTATGTCTAAGGACCACTGAATGGGCTGGCGACGGCAGGGTTCTCATCACACAGAGGCTTTGGAATGCGCAGAATGGGACTCTGTTGGTGTCTTGCACTCAGGAAGGTCTGATGCGATATGCCAGACAGCCTGTGAAACTTTGACCTGATCATTTTTATGTAAAGTAACAGGTATTGAATCAAATGGAACGTTATGTTGTTGAATCAGATTCTCAGAGCTGCTATTCTCCCCTGTTCCCTGCAGTGTCGATGTTTTAAGGTTTCCAGGTTGTGACGATAATTTCAACACCGCACAGAGAGTAAACTGTAGCGACTTGTCTCTGCGCACAATTCCGTCAGCTGTAAATGTTCCTTCTTCAAATGACAGAAGCAAAGATTTCTTCACTGGCCACTACAAGTTTCTGGAGTAGGAGGACGCCTAACATTGACCTTTGACTATTTCAGTATCTCGCATACCCATACGAAGAGGAAAAGGTCCGCAAACTCGGGCTGGGCCTCTGCTTCTTCGCGTAAGTTGAAGATCTAGAGTATCCCAAGGAATTCGATCCTTTCCCGCCGCTCTACGCCGCTACGGACTGCCGTCTAAAGCGCTCTTACCCTCTGTGCGGGCTGTAGAAGTAGGCTTCAATGAACTTCCAATGAAGGGTAGTACGAATATTCTCGGTGCGAAAACTGGAATTGAGAGTGCCACCATTAGTCTGTAGAGAGGGGAAAAGGCTGGTTAAATCACAACAGCCTATCAAAAAGAGAGCACAAACTTGCCGGGGGTGGCAAATACCAACGGGGTCGAGGGGACTGCTGACAGATGCGATCCGACAAGATTGCACGGACACCAACAAGTCACGAAACAGGCCTTTCAATACTCACAGCTGCTCATCAGTGAGCGAAGACGAGCGTGTAGGTAAGTTATTGTTCCTTATAATATCATTTCAATGCAACGTGCTCCAGGGTCTACTCAAATCTCTCATCAAACGAACCCATGCCGGAACCCTCCGAAAAGCCATAATGATTAGGGGTTTCCCAAAACTGCAGCCCTCCATATTTTTATGGTCACTTAGCTCTTGTCGGCTCTTTGGTCGGACTAACAAACGATGCGTCGACTCGTTCCGGTCAAGTCCGATGTGATTCAGGGAGCCATCAACCTGGGTTTGGGCTGTGAAGTTGCCTTCCATGACACAATGGGTGTGGTCAGGGTAAATGGCAGTGCAGAAACATCAATGACCGCTGAGAAGTGAAAAACTCACTGGGGAAGCCTCGCCCTTTCAATTCACTCTAGTGGAGGTTACTGAAATCACTAAGAGCCCGAGAGGATGCACATATTTACAGAGCAGGGTGAACACTGCCCTAACATACGATTTCGATGGAACCGAGATCGAGCAGAGTCTTTGGACCGGTCTGGATCGTACGAATTAGCGAACGGGAACCTGCATCGTCTTTCAGCCTTGGACATCTTCAGGAAGAGCCCCAACCATTCGGTTCGTATGCGGCAACCCGTTCGTCGTGGGCTCTTCCGGGACATCGGGTCAGGGGCCTCGTGCTGTCAACGCCACAATCAACAACGACATTCCTCTTGAGTTCGGGCCACTTTCTCGGTGCGTCTCTTATTTCCGCGCATTTGCCGCCTTTACCACAGCCCGAATATGACATATCGCTTCTTGTTGCCAAACTTCAGGTTCACTCATCGCCCGCACCAACCAGACACAGAAGCCATACTAGCTGGGACCAAACCCGCTCAGTTCCCGGGCGAGATGGATTGTCAACGGCTGCTATCAGACCGCCAAGTGTCAATGCCGGGGTTGCACGTCCGGGGGAAAGAGAAGAACACAAGCTCCCGCTCCGCCCTGATCACAATTCGCCCCATGACTTCCAAAAGCAGTAAACGCGATCCCTGCGCGTGCATTGCCTCGGTGTGAATTATGTGGCACTCAGACGATACAAAGGGTGTGCTCATTTACCATCTGGGCGGCAACCAATCCCGAGTCTCGTTGGAACTCGTTCTGACGCAAGGGTCCAGTTTGCTCTCTTTCGAACCGACGCCAACGAACCAATCCCGAGGAGAGATACAGCAAGGGGTAGGGCCGCCATCCAACGACAGCACTCTCTCGACGACCCGCTGCAACCCCTCCCACCAGGCTCGGACTTTCAACGTCAAAACTTGAGATTCTTCCCATCGAGCCCCTGTGGTAAATCACACAAGCCCATTGTCGAAGCAAGAACAATGACTGCAGAATATGGTCGTATCCACCTGCTATCATGGACCCGGAAGTACAGGCAGCCAAGCCCGGTAAGAAGCAAACATTGAATGAAGGCCCGCCAGGTGACACGAGCCAACTTTCTCAGACCTCTAACCATGGCCAGGGGCCGAAGAAGCCGATGAGATGAAGGGTAACTCCCATGGAGATAGGGCCAATGATGTTGAGCTCGTTCTGATCAAAAAGTAAGGTGGGATTCGTGAGCTGGCATACGTCTCTAGAGTTGACCACGCCGTGGCTTGCGTCTCACGCCGTGCAGGCAGGCGCACTGCAATGAGAGTCAACGCAGCATGGGTGTGATGAAATTGACTGATGGCCGTCATGTGGTGTTCCAAATTTCACCTGCCGCTGGCATACACTTGGCAAAATGACACTCCAGGTGTTCACCGGCAATCTCACTGGGATCGGTGCAGGCTTGGATTCTGGGCATTCACGGCAGCCAAGACACATGTTCTCATGGTGACCCGCGATCATGGTGGTCCTCGATCACGAACGCCTCTCTTTCGAGCAATGATGGGCAGTCTGAGATGTGAGCGATAAGTCCAATTGTATCATCATTGACCTCTAAATCTACAACCATCCTCGCACTCCGATTAGATCCATCGACCGTTTTACACGCCGTTTATCTTGCCAGTCCCCGTTCGCGATCACTACCCAGGGAGTTCGAGCTGTTCTTAGTTGTAGGAATCGAACAGCTGCTGGTACTTCTCCCTGTCTGCATTGCTGCCAATCCAGACATCCTTCTTGTCATCCACCACCTCAAAGTGAGCGCCCACGAAGGAAGCGACCTGACCGCCACCAAAGGCAGACTTGTCGATGAAGACGCCTTCATCAGGAAGAACCACCTCAGTGTAGTACGGGTGAGAGATCATAGCAGCGAGATCGTCAGGAGAGCGGTAGAGAAACATCGCAACTCCATCGAACTCGACAGGAACATCAGAAGCAGGCTCAGATGCACCGGCCTCCGTAGGGAGAACGAGTCCTCCAATGCGGACCTGTGACGGGTAAGCGATTGTCCAAGACGTGGCCTAGATAGGATAGTGGATGGTGAGAAGTGAATCACGAACCTGTTGGTAACGCGAGATGTTGAAGTAGGACGCCAAGGGAGCGACCTTGGGTGCATGCTGGGTGTACCAGTAGTCCCAGAACTCAGTCTGCGTGTAGTTTGGGTGACGTTTGACGTGGGTCAACATCTGCGTGAGACCGTTTCTCGTGCAGATCGCCACGCTGCTGGCGAAGAGCATGGCGGTAACAGCGAAGGGGACGATGCGAACCATGATGACGATCAACAGGATAGGGAGAGAATTAGGGGTGTGATGTGGGCAAGATCGAACGGTTGAAGGGTAGATTGCGAAGATTCAGGAGTCGCTGGTTTTATCCGGGACGATCTTGACACAAGAAGAGGACCGTAACGTACCATTTAAGGACTCTCGGACTCAAGGCGGTGCGAGTGTTTCTGTCGACGTTTGGGTAGGTGGTGTCTCCTTCGGGACAAGAACTCCATGGGAATCATAACGGCTGGACTGGAATATTGGATATCCGGCCGGAACCTCTGGATTGGTATTGTTTGCTTCCTCCGGTGAGCCGCAGCTCCCTGCCAGATTCATGCGCAAGGAATATGGTAAGCACTGTAGTCCCATCTGGATTGGCCCAATTTCTCTTCCAGCAAGCAAACACGGTGGACCAGCTCCCCTGGTAGTTGGAACAGGGGTCTCCGATCTTGCACCAACAGTCTCGTGGACTGCAAGCATTGAGAGCCCTACCTACCGGCCGTAAGCTTCTGCAATCTACAGGCCAAGGCAAACAAGCATGACTTTTGGGCTGTTCAGAAGGAGGTCTGGAGTTGAGATATTGTCTCTTTTGATGAACACAATACCACAGACCCGAGACCCCGGGAATTTGGCTTGATAGTCCCCGATATTGATAACACTACCCAACGCCCCACTGGTATTCTGACGGCTGGCGAAGTGCTTGGAAAGGAGTTTGCAATCATGACAGTTGGATATAATACACCCAGCAGATCTCGAACAGACGCACTGTCACAGATTGGTTTGTGCTTCTTCTTCTTCTCTTGAGCTCAAACGGTTTGTCGGTGCCATCTTCAGTCACTTTCAGCCTCTCCTTGGCCTTCCTTACCAAACGCCGGTACATTCCTTCTCGCTTCTCTCTGCCTTTCTCGTTCTACACCGCCGCCCTCGCCGCAATCCTTTGGCGACGTGGTCGCCCCGTGGCCTGTTCTGATGGCTATCGAATACCCAGTCACGAATGGCACAACCACAGTGATGTCGCCTCCTGAAGGCTATGTCGTTGACTTTGAGAACCCGCAGCGGCAGAGTGTGTTGGAACACTACCTGGTGTTTGGCATCTTGGGTCCACTCGCTCTGGTCTGTCTAGTTCAAAGGTTTTACACCAAGTTGGTATTTTCGGATGGGCCGAAGATCGATGACGGTGAGCCCGAAATACCTCTCGCTGCCAACGCGCAACTCCAACTGATCGTGATTGCTATGTTTAGCATTGATGCTTATTGCCTGGGTAAGTTCACCAAGATACGACTTTTCTTGTGTCACTTTGTCGCCAGTTACTGACTCGTGAGGTCAGATATGCTCCATTGCCATGCAATCTTTACAAACCTGTAGGTCAGATTTCTTGGCCTGCAAATACTTCTGCTAAGCAATGAACGCTAGGGTCTTGCGCCATTGGGGGCTTGGGTCACCACGCTTGGGAAATGTCACTTGATGTCTGGGCCAAGCAGGCTCTCGTAAGTCTTCGAACTCGACACAAGTTGAGGCATCTACTGACATCCTTATGTCTTCAGGTCAGCTACATCGTCGCTCCGATATTCATCTGCGCCAACGGGTCAACAAAAGCCTCGCTATTCTTCGCATATCTCAAGATCTCCCCTCTCCCATGGTATCGCCGAGCCATCACCGCAGGTATCGCCATGGTATTCTGCTACACCGTGGTGATTGCTTCGATGCTCCTGTTTGGCACGTGGCCCATTCGGGCAAACTGGGATCCATATGTCGAGGTGTCGGAAACCCACAGACCACTAAACAGCGCAATGCTTTACATGGCTATTGCTACGTCAAACATTGTGTCCGATGTTGTTCTCTTTTTAATCCCTATTCCAATGGTGCTGCGTCTTCAGATGCGCCCCGTTGTCAAAGTTGGCGCCTTGATCATGTTTGGAATCGGCTCCCTGTAAGTCTGCTTCTCCAAACCTGCATCGTAGCGCCTTTTTAACTCAGATATCAGGACTGT